AATTTACTTATTTAATATTGACACTAAGATTAATATTAATATTTATAATTTTTTATATACATTTATAATAAATTGATACGGGCCATGATGAATTTGGGCTTCCGCTTTAGAGAAAAAGGAGGTTAAATGGCCCATTTAAAATCTAAATGCAGCAAAACAAAATCCCCGTTTTTTATTTGTTTCCCAAACCTCTTTCTTTTTTGTTATGAGTGTTTTAAAATAATTTTTTATTAAAAGAGTTTATCTAATTTGTATTTTAAAAATATAAATTAATAGTATATTAAATATATATTTTTATTATAAATTTGTATTAAAAAATTAAAAATCAATTTTTAATTTATCAATTATCTAATTAAATTTATCTAATATTAAAATTAATATCAATTTTATTTTTTTTATGTATATTATTAATAAAAAAAAACAATAAATACACTTTTATTATATAAACTCAAAAACCCATTCTTAGTTAATCCCATGAATGACTATGGTACCTTGACGTGAACTGCTGGTCCACGCAATGCTAAAAAGTTGTCAATCTTTTGAAAAGCCAGATCGTCAGCATGCAATGATCACTCCAATGGCCTTTTTTCGTTTTTTTTGAACTTCTAGAAAACTCCAATTGCCAAAATTTGACAATAAAGAAAAAGACATTAATAATAATTTCCTATATCCAATGGCCAATAACGAAATCACATCATGCCCTCATTATTACCCCTTTTTCCAGGTTGGTTGTGCCAACAAACAGTCAAACACAATAGATGGACCAGGTCACCGTCACCTGGGAACATCCTCTGCCTGCTCCTCGTCTTGTTTAGGGTTGTTTGTGTTTCTATTTTTGTTCCTCTAATATTTGATCACTCCAGTTCTGCTCAATTTAAGGGTTTTCTCCTATTTTGAACAAGTCCTGTACTTTTCTTCCCCTTGAGATGATATGAACATATTCCTATGTGATTTGCCGAAAATAAATAAATAAATAAATAATAACAACATGAACAAATAATCAGACTACAACCACGTTTCAGCTGGTCGCTATGGAGATAGAAATTGGAAAGTCCCAATACCTCTGCTAGAGTGCCGCCAACCAACCACACTTCTCGCAAAGCAGCCCCATAGACAATCAAGTCGTGAAGCACAAGGACCAGGATAATAATGTGCAGGATCTCAACAAGAATGAAGTAAAATGTGTACACATGATACGCAGTAAGGCAGAGGTACCAAACCAATGTAGAGGTATCTAGTACCCTTCCAAACCCAATTCCAGAAGTCACCAACATCGGTACAGCCAAAACTTGAAAGCAAGCACCCCTTTAACTACAAGGAAAGCTGCTGGGGGAGGAAAAGCAACCCTAAAAGCCTTAGAGCAGATTGCGAATCACCCTAGAAAAGCTTCTCAAACTTCTAGCTCTAAAATCAA